TTCTGAGATGAAGATGCTTGAGTCTGAAGTGGGAGGGCCAATCCCATCTTCAGAGCCAGTTTCTCAGTGAGCTCAAATAGCACCTGATAATTTACCAATATAGTATATATAACGAAGACATTAGATTCTCTGTGAAACTGAAGGTAATAAAAGACTACTGTTTGAAAAATCAGACAAGAGGAAAGGAACCCAGTGTTTACACTGTGCCAGAGACCATGATAGCAGGCTGGACCTGAAGTGTAGTGTTCTCCTTATAACCTGTACAAAGTTGTCTGGACGAATCTTATCTGCTTTGTTGTGTGTTGGAAATTGGAAGTAACAAAAGACAGAAAGCAATTTTTCTTTATTCTCAGAGATATTTGATTTTTAAGGATCACCCTCTGTTCTCTTTAAATTTTACATATTAATGGTAAAGCAGGATCAAGCTGGCAGAAGCATTTGCCTTTGCTAGGGTTTAACCTGATATTCTCTGTGGCTAGATTTGAGGTGCCCAACTGCTTGAAAGCTTATATCCATAGTCAGTTAGCAGACAACCTGAAAAACTCAACAAGAATTTTTTTCTTGGTGTAAAAAGATTAGACTCATTTGTTTGAGATGTTGGAATTTTAGTTCTGCCTACCATTGGAGGAGGCAGCTGTGGTAACTTCAGAGGAATTTTTGTATGAGATGGAGGATGAAAGGGAAAGGAGTCTTGGTTCAGGCATGCCCTCTCCTTGGGTAGCAGGCTTGCTCCAATTGTCCAGGAGGAAAGCCAGTGTGGAATCTGCTTTTGTCTTCATCTGTAAAACAAAACAAAAATTCTGAGACATCTATGGAGGGATGGTTAATTCTTCTAGAGTCTACCAGTCCAATATCCAGAGAGGCAGCTCTGGCTCCTGCCGATGTCAGTCATGACCTAACTGCTCTGACGATCAAGTCTCAGAGTGGGACTGATTGATGCTTAACCCATGTCTGGGGGTTCTGGTCCCTGACTGTTCTGCTTGTAGCCCAGAAGTTTTTGATGGTTCCATTTCTAAAAACATATTAATTCCCTTTTAACCTTATTTGTAAACTGACAGATCAAGGTGAGAAGTGCCTATAGAACTTTTCCTTCTCAGGGGGATGTAAACTAAGTTGATCTTTCCTCTCATCTGGGCGGGGGGCAGCACATCTCAAATAACAGACCCGAACAAGTGATCAGTTAAAAAGGTGTTGGCTTTCAGGCCAGGGATGAATTTTGAAACTTCCCAATTAGCTAAGGGAAATAGAGCAGTTGTGTAATGCTCAAGGCGAAACAAAAAAGAGTAGAAATTCCTCTAATTTTGTGTCTCCCTGTTCTTGCATTCAGTTTCTTAATGTTAGTCCATATTGCATATCTTAATCTAGATAGGAAGCCTGCATGAGAAGCACTTATGGTGGTTTTTTTTCTTTTAAAGAGGGCTCTCAGGCTATCTGAATTAGAAACTGAGTCACATTATAATTTACTATATATAATCTTGGAGTAAGTAACTGTAACCTAGGGAATAAGGAACACAGGACCCAATAGCACTTAAAAGAACTTGGAAAGAGGGAATATCAGAATTCTCAAAGGGGTCTGGAGGATGGAGAGGATCCTGTTTGCCTCTGGACGTTGTAGCTGCCCTTTTGGCGGCACCTTGACTAGTACCTGGCAATTCATCTTTTGGATCGGGGTTGGTATACAGAAAGAACAGGTTCCAAATTTGGCCCTGAGCTGCTGCAAATTCACATGAGATTCCTAGATTTAGGGATCTCAAAGTGTTAGCTCCCTTTGGTAAGTTGACTAGTGTTAGAGGCACATGGATGGGAAAATTCTTAGCTTCCTTTAGCAAATCCAAAATAAAACACTATGGAGGTCTTGTATTAGTTCCTTAGTCGAACATAAAAATGCACTGATCTTATGATATGGTAATAGAGCCTATGTTGGAATTTCCTCTGAGTTATTTCTATGATCCCAGTTCTTAAGACTCCTAGAAGGTGAGGCTTGAGAGATGGCTCAGTGGCTAAGAGCACTAACAACTCTTGCAGAGGACCCAGGTTCAATTCCCAGCACCCACATGGAGGCTACAAACCATCCTTAACTCCAGTTCCAGGGGAATCTGAAGCCCTCTTCTGACCTCAGTGGCATTGCACAACATGGGCACACTCACATACATGCAGGCAATATACTCATACACATAAAATAAAAATAATAAATAAAATATTAAAAAAAGGACTCCTAGAAGGTGAAAACCAGAAAGAGGATTAGAACATATATGACTGAATGCCTGTGGTGAAGGGAATTCCTGGAGTGCAGTGATCTTCTGAGGGCTCAGTGCTACTGGGAGGTTTATGTGTGCTGCCATTTTGATGATGTCACTAACCTAAAGGGCAATCAAGTCACTTGGCTATCCCCATATTGATGGTATCATTAGCCAAGATGGTGGCCAGGCCACATGGTTGCCGCCATCTTGATGAGGTCACTAGCCAAGATGGCAACAAAGCCATAGGGCTAGGTTTTTAAGTCTATGGTGAGCTCAGCTCCATGATAAAATGAGCACATTCCCTATCAGGGCAGGAGTCCCTCTGAGATTCATGAATCTCATACATTAAATATGGACAACTGTCCCCTTTTAAAAAGAGCATCCAGGTAGTGTGAGACTGATATAGCATCAAAAGTGGTCCTCAGGTTATAGGCCCAAAATAGCAAAGTAAAGAAACAGTGGAAGGAACTCAGTGGTGTCAATCCAAGGAAGGAGAGTTCATGTTTACCACTGATTGTAATTATGAATGCTAAGTGATTCCATCTGGAAGCACATGTCCCATGTGCGTATGGTCTGTGACTCTCCATGTTGGCTGGAGTTTAATTTCCAGGTCCAGGACAGCTGGGGCTACAGGAAGACCCAAAAAGACCAAAAAAACCAAACCAAAACAAAACAAAAATAACTTGTAAAAAATAGTTAACTTTGGAAGCTGGAAAGATGGCTCAGTAGTTAAGAATACTGGCTGTTCTTGCAGTCAAATTGTGGGTTCGAATCCCAGCACCCACATGGAGGTTGACAGCTGTCTGTAACTCCAGTTCCAGGAGATCTGATGCCCTCTTCTGGCCTCCATGGGCATTGCATGACATGGGTGCATTTACATATGTGCACACATCATACTCATACACATAAAAATAATGCAAAAAAATAGTTAACTTTGGTTTAAATCTTATCAGTCTTATGTTTGGCTTTATTTAGTTAGAAGAGCAATTTCCCATTATTAGTGCCCACCATTATGGCCTGGGGTCCTAAGCTCCTTGTTTGTTCCTTTCCCTTCCCCCAAACTTAATCCATGTTTCCTGAGGGGAGCCCAGTACAGAGGGAAAGAAGGGAGAATCCTGTGCTCAGGTAGAGAAAATGAAGTTTTGCACATTACAGCTGATGTCACTTTTGGATGCAGATTGTGTCTTTGAAACAGTTGAGTTCAGAGGGTTAAAAGTCAAGAAACTCAGCCATGCCGAGGGCTTTGGCATGCCACCCTTCCCCAAGGTCTCTGTGGTCCCTCTGAGTCAGAGCAGCAAGATAATGGTAGCTGCTAGTTTTGTCTCCTTCAAACACATTTGTTTCTTTTCCCAGTTATTTCTCATTCAGTTTATAGGGAAGCTAGCTAATTTCTATTCGCAAGTCTAAGAAATTTCTCACATTTTCTGACGTTCCTAGTTGCTTTTCTAATGTCCTTTTTTACTTTGCTTTAGAGAGAAGCTAAGATTAAACATAGAGAAGAGAGAGAGTAAAACTCATAAAATCTCTTGGGAGCCAGCAAAGTGAGAAATTAGTCACCAGCCATGGACTGTCTACCATACCTAGTGTGTGGAGGGGGGCAGTCCCTGTTCCAGGAGTTGGGGGCACCCCCGGAATCTGCATGGTTCTGTCCCTCTATCCTTTCACAGTTTTGTCTTGGTTTATACTGACCTTGAGTCAGTGGTCCTCAGAAGGAATCCCAGACAAGACCCCCATATATTATTAGTCTAGGGGTAAGGTTGGGTTCATTTTCCCAGTCAAGCAAAGAAGTAAAGGGCAGGAAAATCTCACGCCAGCAGATTTTATTGAAACAAAAAAACCACATTCATATTCATAAAGAATCACACATACATAAGCACATTTGTCCTGAAAGATGAAGCTACAAGTGGAGAAGGGACCTGGAAGCCAAAATCCACTGTCCCCTGGGGAGAGAATCTGGGTTTTAAGGGTTTCGTTGCTTTTCCCTCCCCTAAAATTTTGGATTGAACAACTTAAAGAAGTGGGTGCTAATAGGCTTGTGGCTCCAAATGATGAGGTGTCCAGGTCTATAAGACTAAACAAGTCAATTGAAGGGGCCCTATTGGAGTCTAAAATAAGGCCTTCCTGCCAGGGGCCAGGAAGAAGCAGGAAGTGTGCCATATTTAGTACCTCTCAGTGACCCTGTCAGGGTCCCTCACAGATCTTATTTTGTGTGCGTGTGTGTATGTATGTGGGTGCACTCATGCCATGGCATGCGTGTGGAGGTCAGAGGACAACTCTCTGGAGTCGATTCTCTCCTTCTACCATGTGGGACCCGGGTATCAAATTCAGGTTATCAGGCTTGATGACAGGCTCCTTTACCCACTGAGCCATCTCGCCAGCCCCCCCATTGTTAAAATTTCTATTAATTTACTTATTTTGAGGCAGGGTCTCATGTGTCCCAAGCTGACTTTGAACTCACAATGTGGACAAGGATGCCTTTGGAACTTCTGAGTCTTCTGCCTCCATCAGCTGGCTGGCGGCCCAAACCACAGAAGAACCGGGTAGGGAACCCCTGTCTGGTCCTGGGGAGAGGATGCCCAGCTCCAGCTGCGCCGGCTGCCCTCCTTGGTCTGCGGGCGGGGCAGCGTGGAAGGAGCTCCGAATGCCATTGGCCGAGGGGCTCTGGCCTGCCAGCCACTGCCTGCCTTCATTGGCTGGAGGGACGGAGGCCTCGCCCGCAGCCTGCCTCCGCCTCCCGCGGTGTCAACGCTCCCGGGATAGCCGAGCACAGCTCGCTGAGAGCTCCGAGCCACTGCAGCATGAGCCGCCACCTGGACGCGGCGCGGAGCTTCCTGGAGCAGCTGGAGGCCCGCGACCGCCGGGAGGGGGCAATCCTCGCGGGCGAGTTCAGCGTGAGTGACACTCGAGAGCCGACAGCGTCCACGCGCTCGAGCCTCGCAGCCTGGACGGTCCCCACGGCTGTCCACCCGTGCAACGGGAACGCTCTGCCTCTCCCTCTCGGTGTCCCGGGCTGTCTCTCTGCCTCCAGCTCTCTGGTTTTCCTCTCCCAGCACCTCTGTCGCTCTCTCACGCGGTAGTCTTCATCCTGTGCTGCAGGCGCCTAGAGGGCGAAGCCCACCGCCGGCTGGGAGGGTCCGGACACACTCGGGTGACCCTGTGCTCCCGGAACAGCCCTCTCCCAGACAGGGCGGTACCTCGCAGCAGGGAGGAGGGAGACGGCGCACCTGGCACCTGCGCTGGACTCCATTCCCCAACCCGGGCCACTCCTGGGTCACCTTGTAATCCCAGGGAGGAAGTGGCATGGAGCAGCAGAAAGAGGAAGCGGGAGGCTTTACCACCGCACTTGAGCTCGCTGGTCTATGCCCTGGGTCTTTCAGCACTGTGGCTGGGGTGTATGTGGGAGGGGTTGCTGTATGGGCCCTCTGACTTCGGTTTCTCCTGTTTTGAAAAGGGGATGTTACTAACCAAATTGGCTTGAGAATTAGGTTTGGGCAAAAGCACTTAGCATGTTTTGGGTGCTCATCTGACAAGTGCCTTTAATACCTCTTACAAAAATTCTAAATGTTTCAATAGAGCAGACAAGCTCTATGGGAGGGAAGACCACTCAGTAGGCATAGCATGCTACAGGTAATGGAAGATCTGAAATACAGTTACATGGTCCAAATATGTAAACACAGTGTATCCAATTTAGAACTACCATATAAATCTATAAAAATAAGTGTGACATTACTGACCATTTATAGGCTGGCATGGTGGCACATATCTGTAATTCCAATACTTGGGAGGCTGAATCAGGAGGCTCACTGTGAGTTCAAGGCTGGGCTACATAGTTTGAGGCCAGGCTGAGCTACAGAGTGAGTCTCTCTTTCTTTCTCTCTCTCTCAAAAAAGACAGTTTAAACAATATAAAACATTAATAAGAACCAGAATTATTTAATAAGTTCATGATGTCTAAATTAAATCTGAGCCTAAAGAATTTACACATATAAAGTATTGTAATATGTAAAACACATAAGTATGATGTGTATAAATATACACATGGTGTATCTTTTGGGTTGGTGAAGTAAACAGTTCTGAGGGATCTGTGCCAAAGGCTGAGTGGTGAGGGCATTCCAGGGCCTTGATTTCCTGTCTCTGTAACTGAAATACCAATGGTGATGTCCACAATAGGACGATGTCCCTGGGGACTTAAATGACCTGATCAACATAAGTAAAGCACTTAAGAATAGTGACCTGCACACAGTGGCAACTGATAGGTGTTTATTATCATTGCGCTTATGAATACCTGGTAACAAGAGTAATACTCTTCACTAACCATAATAATCTACCACTTATAAAGTACCTATAGCATCTTCTTACATAGCATATATTGTAATTTATAAATATGACATTTCATCATGTATTTTTTATAAATTATGCATTTAACTTTTTTAATGTGTGTGAGTGTTTTGCTTGCATGTATGTAAGTGCATATGTGTGCATTGCCCTGCAGAGGCCCGAAGAAGGTGTCAGATCCCTGGAACTGGGGTTAGAGACCATTATTAGTCACCATGTGAGTGCTGAGAATTGAACCCAGGTCCTTTGGAAGAAAAGCAAGTATTCTTAACCTCTGAGCCATCTCTCCAGTCCTGCATTTAATTTTTTTTTTTTTTTTTGGAGACAGGGTCTCCCTGTAGCCTTGGCTGCCTGGAGCTTGCTATGTAGACCAGGCTGGCCTTGAACTCAGAGATCCGCTTGCCTCTGCTGGGATTAAAAGCATGCACTACCATGCCTGGCTAAATTATTTTTAAAGATTTATTTTATTTTTGTGTATGTATGTCAGTGTCTGAGATACCACAGGTGGTTGTTGGCTGCCCAATATGGGTGCTTGGGAACTGAGTTCAGGTTTCATGTAGCTCCAACAGGTCTTGAACTTGATATGTAGCTGAGGATGACCTGGAGCTTCTGTTTCTTGAATTATGTGTGTGTGTGTGTGTGTGTGTGTGTGTCTGTGTGTGTGTGTGTGTCTGTGTGTCTGTGTCTCAATCTGTGTGTCTGTGTGTCTGTGTGTGCCCATGCCAGCTCAGAGGTGGAGGTCAGAGGATGGCCATGGGACTCAGTTCTGTCCTTTTCATGTGGGTCCGGATGCTCAAACTCGGATCATCGGCTTGGTGGCTAGCACCTCCACCCCGAGCCATCTCCCTGGGCCCAATTTTATTTGTGTGTGTGGTGCATGCATGTCACAATGTCCATGTGGGGGTCAGAGGACAACTTTCTGGAGTTGGTTCTCTCTTCTTATAGTGTGGGATTCAGAGACTGAACTCAGCTCATCAGGCTTGCACAAGTACTTTTACCTGCTGAGTCATCTTGTAGGCCCAAATAATGCATATTGATTGCCATTATAATTAAGTATAGCATGGACTGAGTGTGCAGGCCTGAGGAATCTGGGATCAACTCCTGGGATGCCTCCTGGTGAGACCTTTGGCAGGTTGTTCAACCTCTTCCTACATGAATTTTCATCTGAACAATTGAGGACAGTGGAGAATAGTGCACTTAGTAGGATGACCAAATCCCTTAGGACTGGGCCTGGCTCTGAGTTGCTGTTAGTGCATATTATTACGCAGGTCCTGTGCGGATGGTCCCCACACTCATCTTTCCTGGCCTATTCCCCATGAACGCTGAGTGTTTCAGTATCCTGAGACTCTGACCTGGCATCTTTCTTCCTCTCTCTTTGCCTTCTCTGTTCTGCTGTGCCTTCAACCAGGATATTAAGGCACGCTCCGCGGCCTGGAAGACGGAGGGTGTGTGCTCCACCAAGGCCGGCAGTCAGCTTGGGAATATTAGGAAGAACCGCTACAAAGATGTGGTGCCATGTAAGTCAGTGGGCGTCCTTAGGGAGTCGATGCCACTTGCACAACCCTCTGGATGGCAATGCAGTGGCAGTGTTCACCCCCTCAACCCAGAGCACTCCCCACGCACCCTGCTTCCCAAAGACTTGTGGGGGCTACGGACTCTTTGTAGCCAACAAGGGCAGATGGCTGCTGGTGTGTTGTCACCCTGCTGGCCTTCACCTTGGGAGGCTGTCAAAAACTTGGCACCCCTCCATATTTCTCACCTGCTGGCAGATGATGAGACTCGAGTTATCCTCTCCCTGCTCCAGGAGGAGGGACACGGAGACTACATCAATGCCAACTTCATCCGGGTCAGGCTGGTGGTCTAGGGAGAGGGAAGAGGAGGCCTGGAGGTGGGGAGGGTGGGTGTGAGAATCTCATCAGTGAATGACCTTTCTCAGGGAACAGATGGAAGCCAGGCCTACATTGCTACACAAGGACCCCTGCCTCACACTCTGTTGGACTTCTGGCGCCTGGTGTGGGAGTTTGGGGTCAAGGTCAGCTTTGAGGGACAGGGAGAGGGGCATGGTTCTGAGTGTCCCTCCTCCTGTTTCTCCTAATCCCCATGCCTCCCGCCCTTGCCCCTCCTCTAGGTAATCCTGATGGCCTGTCAAGAGACAGAGAACGGGCGGGTATGTGTCCTCAGCACCCCAGAAGGCTTGTATAGGGAGGAGGGAGGAGGAATCTTGCCAGCTCCCTCCTGTTCCTAAAGCCATAGAGCCCAGTCTTCAGCTGACCTCCCTGTAGCTCTGGGAAAATCACTAGTTCTAATTTGGCCTTGACACTTTTGTTCATGGGGCTCACTCCCCCAGTACTGCAGCCTTTTCCATGTTAGACTTTCCACTTGCACACCATGGGGCTAAGGCCCTGTACCCGAACAGTTCTCACCCTGGTCTTTCTCAGCCCCTTCCCCACCGCGCCCCCCTCCCCCTCAAATTGTCTCTGCCTATGCTGGTCTTTGCTATTCCTCAGATGCACCAGGGAGGGGCTCTGCCTCAGGGCCTATGCCTTGGCCATCCTCTGCCTGGAGCCTTCCCATTGCTGCCTCCTCAAGGCCTCAGGCCTGTATTTGCTTAGCTACACCTTCCTGGACCTTTATGTGCCCAGGCACTCCGACCCTCTTTCCTTTGTCATACTGTTTTCATTTTCCTTTACAATTATTACCAACCTCCAACACAGTAGATCATTCTAAAGGTGAAATACACTCCACAATACTGGCATTACACTCAACAAGCTATTATTTTTTCCTTTGACTGTCTTTTTAAAAGCAGCTTTATTGGGATACAATTCACCCATCTAGCTGGGCATGGCATCTCACTTCTGTATTCCCAGGCACTTGGGAGTTTAAAGTGAGAGGATCAAAGGTCAAGGCCAGTCTGGAAAACTAGGGAGACCATCTCAGGAACAAAAGCAAAAGAAATGTTAGAAAAACTTCATCACACCATCAGCAGCCAGTCTCCATTTTTAGAGTCCTAGGCAGCCCCTAATCTGCTTTTGGTCTCTATAGATTTGCCTACTCTAGAGCTTCACATAAAATGGAATTGTATAGTATGTGGTTTTTGTGGAGGCTTCTTTCTCTTAGTTTTTATGGTTCTTCATGTTCTAGCATGGATCAATAGTTCACTCCTTTTTATTGCCAAGTAATATCCCTTTCAATGTATCTACCTGCTTTACTTCTCCATTCAGCAATTTATAGAATTTGGGTTGTTTCCACATTTTGGCTGCAATGAATCACACTGCTGTGAACGTTCATATGCAAGTCTTCCTGTGGACACGTACTTTCATTTCTCTGAGTATGCATTGGGTGGAATTGCTGTGTCACAGGGGAACTTTATCCTTAACATTTTGAGGAAGTGACAAGCTGTTTTCCATCGTAGCCACACTGGGTTACATTCCCATCAACAATGCATGACAACTTCAACTCCAATTTCCTTACATCTTCACCATTTCTTATTCTCCCTCTCTTTAAAATAATTTCCATTTAGTGTGTGTGTGTGTGTGTGTGTGTGTGTGTGTGTGTATGTTGTGCATTCACATGCATATATGCCATGGAAAAAGGGTACACGATCAGTGGACAACCTGCAGGAGTTAGTTATCTCTTTCCATCATGAGGGTTCCATGAATTGAGCTCAAATTTTTAGGCTTGGCAACAAGCCCCTTTACCTGAAGAACCATGTAGCCAGCCCTTTATCTATCTATCTATCTATCTATCTATCTATCTATCTATCTATCTATCTATCTATCATCTATCTCTCTCATCTATCATCTATCTATCTATCTATCTATCAATCTATCATCTATCTATCTATCAATCTATCATCTATCATCTATCTATCTCTCTATCATCTATCTCTCTATCATCTATCTATCTATCATCTAGAGAGTCAGTCCTATAGGATGCCCCTTTCTTGTTAGCCCACTGATGACTTCCTAAAGCCAACAGCTTCCAGTCAGGGCAAACCTGAAACCTTCCCTTTTACTATCATTTATATAGCCATCTATCTATCTCTATCATCTATCTATTTATCTATCTATCATCTATCTATCTATCATCTATCTATCTATCATCTATCTATCATCTATCATCTTTGAAATGTACAGTGGTTTCTCCTTGGGTCTTTTCAAACTTGTGGTAGCATATGTGTAACATGAAGGTCAGTTGTTGAGAGTGTGATTCTGTGGCACTGTACCCATCTATGAAACAACAGCTAAAAACTTTCTCCACATCACCTGTCGTCTGTCTCTGTTAATTTGCCTATTCTAGCTGAATCATGTAAATGGAATCATAAAACACTTGCCCTTTTGTTTCTGGTTCCTTTCCTGTAGCTTAATGTTTTCAAGGTTTGTTCAAGTTGTCGTGCATATCAGAATTTCATTCTTTTCAAGACTGACATATTGTTATGTGTCACATTCTATTTACCCATTCACCTATGGATGGCCATCTGGGTGGATTCTGCCTTAGACTACTGTGGATAATGTTGCTTATACAAACACTGGTAAACAGGTATCTATTTGAGCCTGCTTTAAAAAAAAAGTGTGTGTGTATGTGTGTGTGTATGTGTGTGTGTGTGTGTGTGTGTGTGTGTTGTATATGCACATATCTATGTGTGAGTGTATGTGTAGATGTGGAGTGGATGTGTGCCCCTGTGTGCATGTGTGGAGGCCAGAAGAGGGAATAAGATGTCCTCCTCTGACTATCTCTTACTCATTTAAAAAAAATATTTTATTATTTTTTAATTTTGTGTGTATGAATGTTTTTCCTGCTTGTATGTAAGTGCACCCATGTCATGCAATGCTGGTAGAGACCAGCATTGAATTCTCAGGAACTGGAGTTGCAGATGGTTGCTAGCAGTAATGTGCTAGGAACCAAACCTGAATCCTCTGCAAGATGGCTCTTAACTGCTGAGCCATCTCTTCAGCCCCTTATTCCTTTTTTAGAGTGTATCCCTGGCTGGCCTGGAACTCATTATGCACATCACATTGCCATGGAAGGCGTGTGCCACCATTCTTGGCATTTTTTTTCTGCTAGGCTGGAAGCCAGAAAGCTCTAAGGGTCCTCCTGTTTCTGCCCACCTCAGAGCTGGCATTACAGTTGTAGATGGGGATGCAGGGATCCAAACTCCAGCCCCAAGTCTATTTTCAGATATTTGAATATACACTTACAGTAGAAATGCTGTCTTTAAATTTTTTGTTTGTTTTCCACAGTGGTTGTATCTTTCATATTCTCATTGGCTAGGGGCTGCAGTTTCTCCACACGCTCTTGTGTGTGTGTGTGTGTGTGTGTGTGTGTCCATGCATATGCATATGAAAGTCAGAGGAGAATGTCAGGTGTCCTGCGCTATCATGCTCTGCCTTATTCTCTTGAGATAGTCTTTCGCTGAACCTAGAGCTAGGCTGACAGTCAGCAAACCCGAGAGCCCCCTCCCATCTCTGCCGCCAGTGCTGGGGTTATTTGAACTCAGGTCCTCATGCTTTGTGTGGCAGGCACTCTTACCCACTGAGCCATTTCCCCAGCATAACAGTTGTGATTTTATACTTTCCATTCATTAAGAAAATTACTCACGGTGCTGGAGAAATGGCTCCTTGGTTACTTCAGTTCCTAGTGCCCATGTCAGGCAGCTAGCAACCACCTCTGGTCTCTGCAGGTACCTGCACTGATGGGGGGCAGTGTCGGGCGGGGAGAGAGAATTAAAAATGATAAAATAAATAGTAAAAAACAAAACAAAACAAAAAAAACATTAAAAAAAAACACCCCACTTGGTTTTGGCTTTCGTGTACTTATGTACTTATTTGTCCACTGGACAAGCATCTATTCAGGTCCCGTTTTAAAATCCAGTTATTTATTTGTCTTTATTATTGGTTTGTAAGAGCTCTGGATACAAGTACCTATCACTACATGGTTGTCTTTCTCATTCTGCAAGTTGTCATTTTCTTTTCTTTTCTTTCTTTCTCCCTGTAGCCCCACATGGCTTGGAACTCCCTATGTAGACCAGGCCAGCTGGATCTCACACTGCCTCCAGAGTGAGTGCTGAGATTAAAGGCATACACCATCATGTCCAGCTTATTTCCTTTTCTTATTAGTGATCTTTGAGGTGCAAACCATGTTTTTAATTTTTGTGTGTTTAATCTATCATTTTCTTTTGCTTTTTACATAAGAAACCATTGTCTAAGCAAAGCATGAAGGTTTAACCCTGTATTTTCTGCTAAATGTTTACTAGTTTTATCTCTTACATTTAGGTTCCTTATTACTTTGAACCACAAATCCATGCACATAATGATAATAAATTTTTTAAATACATACTGAGATTTTCACAGGGACTGTCCCTTGTTTTTAGGTGTATGTGGTATGTACTGCCATATTAACAATATTGTTTTCTAGTCTATGAACACAGGTGCCTTTCCATTTACCTGGATTTACCTTTTCTTTCAGCAGATGCCTTGTAGGAGTTAAAGAGTTTACACTCGCAGGGTGTGGTGGCATGTAGCTTTAATCCCAGCACTCAGGAGGCAGAGGCATCAGATCTCTGTGAGTTTAAGGCCAGCCTGGTCTACATAGCAAGTTCCAGGCCAGCTGGGGCTACAGGGAGACCCTGTCTCAAAAATACCAAAAAAACCCCAAACAAACAAAAACCCAAAACAACAACAAACCAAAAAATATAACAAAACAGAATTGATATTCCTATATTGATCTTTCTTGCAATTTTCTGAATTTATTGGCTTGGTGTATGGTGTATACATTTTTAGGAGTTTCTCTATAAAGATAATCATGTCATCTATAAATCAAAGTTTTGTTTCTTCCTTTCCAATCTGGGTGCCAACTCTCCCAGTCCCCTACCCATCCCTGTCACTGCTTCTCCTCTCATCTCTCACCCTCAATTTCTCTTTTTCCTGTTGTGCTGGCTACAATTTAGGATGAAGCTGGGCTTGTTGTAGAAGTTCCATCTTACTCCATGCTTCAGCATTCCACCACTGAATATCTCTGGCATTTGTGGATATTGTTTACCATGTTGAAGAATTCCTTTTTATCCTAATTCTTTTCATGCTCTTACCATGGAACATGTTGCTGTTTGTCAAGCTGCTTTCTCTCTATCCACTCAGATGACTTTGTGTTTTTGCTTTGTTGTCTATTAATATGGTATCTGATACCAACAGGCATTGTTTTTAGTATTGTGTGTATATGTGTGCATGTGTTCAGGTGTGGAGGTCCAGAATAACCTCACCTTGCACCTTGTTTGAAGTGGGGTCTCTTGTTGTTTTACCACTGTGTATGCCAGGCTAGCTGGCCTGCAGGCTTCCAGAGATTCTGCATCCCACCTTGGTGGAAGTGCTGGAATTATAAACACACACTACCGTGTGAAGCCTTTATGGACTCTGGGGATCCAAAGTCAGCTCCTAACACTTATACAGCAAGTGCTTTACCCACTGAGTATTACTCCAGTCCTAATACGGATGGATTTCCAGTGTTACAAATCTAGGATTAATCCCACTTGGTCATGGTATGAAATACTTTGCTAGTATTTTCTTGAGAATTGGGGGGGAGTCTGTGTTCATGAGATACTAGTGGGTAGTTTTCTTGTGATATCCTTGTGATATCAGTTATCCCTCTGGTTTGGGTATCAGGATTATATTTGACTTCATACCTTGTGCTGGTTAATGTTCATGCTTCAGTTTTTTTTTTTTTTCAAGGATACGTGAAGGGTTGGTATTAAGTCTACCTTGTTTATTAAGTGTCACTAGACTACTTCTTACAGATGGTAAAAATGTGAGACATGTCCTTTAATTAAATCATGTTCTTTTTTTTTTTTGAGAAAGCATTTCCCTGTGACCCCAGCTGGCCTGGAACTTGCTGTATAGACCAGGCTGGCCTTGAATTCATAGAGATCCTTTGCCTCTGCCTCCTGAGTACTGCTGGGATTAAAGGCATGTGCCACCATGCCCAGATTCAAGTTCCTTTTGTATAAAGAGCTTTTCCTCATAGGTTTGTTTGCAATGAATTTGCTTAGCTTTTGTCTGACAAAGTTTTTTTATTACATTTATTTTATTACAATTATTTATTTTTAGTACGTTTATTACAATTATTTAATAAAATAATTATTTAATTATTTTATTACAATTACATTATTTACATGTGCCGTGGTGCATATGTGGAGGCCAGAGAACGACTTGCAGGAGCCAGTTCTCTCCTTCCACCATGTATGACCCAGGGATTGAAATCAGGTCATCAGGCTTGGCAGCAAGCACCTTTATCCACTGAGCCAACTTGCCAGCCCAGGTTTCTTTATAAATTCCAGCAGTTTTAGGCTATCACACTATTGATTTCTGGCTTACAGAATTTCTCGAAAAATTCTTCTCTTTTCCCTTTGTTTCTACTGCTGTTTTCATGTTCGCAAACATCTGGCATTTAATTTGCTATTAGTGGATTTCAGGGGTTTTGCTTTTCCTCCACAGACAATCCATTTAGGACTGTTTTGGAGGGTTTTGTTTGTTTGTTTGTTTTTAAAGAATTTTAAAAAATATTTTATTTAACGAATGAGTGAACTGCTTGCATGTAGGGAGGTGCACCCATGTCCTGCAGTGCCCGCAGAGGTCAGAAGAGGGCACCAGATCTCCTGGGATTGGAGTTACAGACCCTTGTTAGCGGCCATATGGGTGCCGGGAATGGAACCCAGATCCTCTGCAAGAGCAGCCAGTGCTCTTAACCACTGAGCTATCTTTCCAGTCCCTAGGGCTGTTTTTGTAGCCTACACTTCATTCTTCTTTATATTCATGCTCCCATTTTGAGTCTGTTTATTTGCTTCTCTCCTCATCCACCATTTCTGAGTCTTTCCCCCTTGGTTATCAGTCACATTTTATTGCATCTTTGTTTATCAAGGAAATCTTTATTGGATGCCTGATCTTTTAAGTGTTGCACAGCTCAGCTTTAAATTGTGTTGACTTTCTTTAAAGAATATTTCAGGTGTTTTACTTTTCTAGGGAGGCAGCTAAGTCTCTTTTGGACATCTGATCATTTGGGGCTTTTGTTTTCCTGACTTCTGTTTGTATAGCTTTCTTTCTAGGACTCTTCCCTGAAAATTCTGTGTTGGCCTCCCTGAGCCATGACCTGTGCTTCTTGGTGGGATCATGGGGTTCCTTGGTTCCTGAAGCTTGATGACACTTCAAGGCAGTAAGCCAGTTGGTCTGCTTAGTGACCCTGTAGTGCATGTGTCAGTGATGGGAAATAGTTGCTCATGCATTTAGATTTAGCAGTAGGAGGATATCCTGGACTGTCTCCCCAGTGTGGTCAAAGGCCCTCCCCCATGGCATGTGTATATGTTTAATGTCATACTCTGTAGCTGGCTTCCATTACAGCCACAGCTGCTGGTCTGTTCACCAGCAATACTGGGGTGTCTTGTCCCTTTGAAAGTGAACGCCCCCTCAGTCCCTCCCTTTTTTCCCTCCCTTTGTAGAAGAAGTGTGAGCGTTACTGGGCCCAGGAGCGGGAGCCACTACAGACCGGGCCATTCTGTATCACCTTGGTGAGCTGGGGCAGGGGTGGAAACAGAGGTGGCTTCTGCAGGCCTTGGGTAGTGTGGGAGATCTCAAGGAAGATATGTAGAATGAGAAGCCTTTGAGTTGGGCCTAGGAGGATGAACCATTTCCCCATAGACCTCTTACAGGGTGGGAAACTCAGAATATGCTCTGGTACTGTCATAAAATTTTAAAAGTTCTTACATTTTTATTTTATGTGTGCGTGCGCATGTGTGCATGCACACATGGACACACGGACACACACACACACACACACACACTCTTTGTTGGAGCTACAACCTAGGTCTTCATACAAGCTAGGCAAGTGTTCTTCCACTGAGTCCCTTTCCCAGACCCTAGCACTTTTATTTTGGCTATGATCTCTATAGCCTCAATGTACCTGTTGAGGTTTCTGTAGTTCTTATTTCTTTACTGTTTCCAAAGAACTGGAAACAAATAGGTAGTTAGTAGCTAACAAATACAATGAGACTATTTTGTTTCAGAACAATAGAGCTCTCATTTCACTGTAAAGGGATTTGTTTGGATTTGTGTAGCAGTTCCTCTTTCTGACAAATGTTTTCTCCATGAAAGCTTTGGGAGATATGTGGGCCACAAGAATTAAAAAAAAATATTGTCAGTATAGAAATTTATTTGAATTAAAATATATGGCTTATCTCTAGAAAAATGTAGTAATTACCCGAAGGAAATATCATCTTGGCTTTGAAACAGTCTAAAGATGGCATTCTTTTGAAGTAAAAAAAAATGTGTAGTAAGAATATACAAAGAAGCAAAAAATACAAGTCTGCTGAGTATTGGGAGTCCCACCAAAAACTGAAATAGCCCAAGAGTATCCAAATTCTAGCTACAAGCTCTCTTGCCTGTCAACCCCCTGGGAAGAAAGTCGGTAACCTCAGGAATGCAAGAACACCATGGGTCAAAGGAGTTTTTAAAAGTTTTTAGTATTTCAATTTTCATCAATAATGCATTGCTTCCACCAGACATGGTAGTACATGTCTATAATCCAAGCACATGGCATGTTGAAGCAGGAGAATCTTCAACAAGTAAGGCCAATGTGGGCTCCAGGGCAAGACCTGCTTCTAACAAAATAAAACAAACAAAACCCTTTATTTTCTAGAAACATGAAATATTATCATTGAAGATCTCTGCCCCCCCCCCCTTTTCTTTGTTTTCTCCTTCCTCTTCTCAGACAAAGGAGACACCGGTGAATGCAGACATTGTTCTCAGAACCCTTCAAGTCACATTCCAGAAGGTACTGAGAGGGCAAAGGCAGGTGAAAGGGCACATTTTGGGAAGAACTGTTTCCTTCTCTGTAAAATAGGCACTGATAGTAGTAATCAGTTCTCATTATCCTGTGGATTTCTTTTTCTTTGTGGTGCTAGGGATGGAGCCTAGGGCCTTGTACATGCTATGCAAATTCTCTTCCTTGAGCTACACCCCAGCCCTACCTAGTGGATTTAAATGGAAGATGTTTAGAACTGTGGTAGGTGCTCAGTAAATGTACTTTCTATTTTTTGTTCCCCTGAATCAGGAATCCCGCACAGTGCACCAGCTACAGTATACATCCTGGCCAGACCACGGGGTTCCTAGCAATCCTGACCACATGCTCACCATGGTGGAGGAGGCCCGTCGCCTCCAAGGATTTGGCCCTGGACCCCTCTGTGTCCACTGCAGGTTTAGAGAATAAGCTTTATGAGGATCTGGTGAGGTAGAAGGGAGGGGGTGAAGGAGAGAGGTGGGAAGGGGAGGTCATGGCTTAGAGCTAGTCTTTAATTTTGAGACATTGGTGGCCTAAGGCTCAGGATACAATGAACTGGAATTGTTGGTATTTGTTGAGCAAACAGATGATACTTAACCAATGCAAGTGATTAAAAAGGGTTTCCTGAACTGAAGAGGTGGCTCAGTGCTTGCCTTGTGAGGACTTGATTCAGATCCCCATAACCCAGGTAAAAGTCAGGCCAGGTGGTTTGCACCTGTAACCCTAGTGCTGTGGGGGCAGAGAGACAAGTGGAACCCCAGAACTAATCAGTCTAGTCAATTTGTGAGCACCTGGTTCAGCAAGAGACCCAGTCTCAGATAATAATGTGGAGAGCCATAGAGAAAGACCTGATGTTGACCTCTGGCCTCCACATGCCCACTCATGAGCCAGACACAAGTGTAACTACAACAACAAAGGGTTTTACTTTGAAATTATAATCTGAGGATCCTGCAGGTCCCGGAGGTACTCTGCAGGGGATCTCCCTCAGCCCAGCCCCAAATTCTCCTTGTAGAATGGATTGGGGTAGCATGGTGGGGCACTCAGGAAGCTGAGGTCAGAGGATCAAGAGTTCAAGACCAGCCTGGGCTAAACAGCAAGACCCATGGAAGGGGAGGAGGAAAGGAAAAAGGGAAAAGGGTGTGTGTGTGTGTGTAGGCAGATCGTGATGGAGTCTGCTTGGATTCATGCTTGTCAGTGCCGGCTGCGGAAGAACAGGTGTCCTGTGCGCTGTTGATTACGTAAGGCAGCTGCTGTTGACCCAGGTATGACCTGTGCTTCTCCGTGTGCCCTTTGTCTCACACCCACCTGGTCCTGTTCCAACTCCCTTTCTCTCTATGCCAGACAATCCCACCCAATTTCAGCCTCTTCGATGTGGTCCTTCAGATGCGGCAGCAGCGGCCTGCGGCGGTGCAGACAGAGGTGTGTGCTGTCTTCCCTTTCCTATGGACGCAGGCAGGCTTTCATCTGTTCCCTATCTTCTCTTCTCAATGATGGCTCACCCCTACAGGAACAGTACAAGTTCCTCTACCACACGGTGGCTCAGCTGTTTTCCCGTGCTCTCCAGAAGACCAGCCCCGAATACCAGAACCTCAAGGAGGTAGGGTCCCTGCTCCACTGGTTCTGCCAGCTGTCAACACGCTCATATTCCCCTGACCCACTGTGAAGGGCACCTTTGCTGCCCCAGGGCTCCCTCTGCAGGCTGTCCCTTCATAAGCTACCTCCAGAACCCAAAGGGACCTGCATCAGGAGCCTGGCTTCATAACCCTCTCTACCGGCTTCCTGCAGAACTGTGCCCCACTCAGCAAGGATGCCTTCTCTGTCCGGACTTTCCCAGCTCCTCCTGCCATACCCCGCCCATCAGGTGGTGTTCTCAGGTACTGGTTCCATCCTCTCTCTTCCCTTCCAATTTCTCAGGCCTAGCCCTTGAAACTTTGAAACACTAGCCTCTACATTCTGGGTTAGCTGTGGGTCCTTGCCTTTCACCTTGACAGGGTCTCACTATATAGGCCAGGCTAGCTGGCCCTCGAGCTTCCGGAGAATCTCCTGTCCCTGCCTCACATCTCACCGTGGGAGCGGTTGGATTACAGATACACACTATCGTGTCTGGCTTTACAGGGGTTCTGGGGCTCTGAACCCAGGTCCTCATGCACCCCCACTTAACTGCCAGTCTGGCCCCATCGTTCTTGCAACCACCACTGAAGGAATACAAGGGACACGGAACCTCGACTGTCTGCCTTCGGACGACCCGCCCCTTCCCTCCTTTTCTGCCCAGGGGCTTGGGGCTGGCAGGAAGGAAGCCCTCAGTCTGGGTAGTCTTGCTCCCTCCCCCTGCTCTCCCCGAGGTCTGCGATCGGTGCTTTCACTTCCTCTGCACGCTCCCCTCTCTCCTCGGCAGGAGCATCTCGGTCCCTGGGCCCGCGTCTCCTCCCATGGCGGACACTTACGCGGTAGTGCAGAAGCTTGGCGCTCCCACGGGCCAGGGACCGGGGACGCGGGTGCCCAGCAGCCAGGAGACCCCGGTCTACAGCCAGGTGACGCCGCGTGCCCAGCGGCCCGTGGCACCTACCGAGGACCAGCGGAGGACGCCGCCCAGCCGCGGTGAGTCAGGGCCTCCCGGGGTGGAGGGGCTGGGGGAGACCTGCAGACACTTGTCCTTGGTTCCCCACCCCTAGGTTCGGGAGTGTTCGGGCTGCCCATCGGGGCTCCACCCCCTGGTCGGGCCTGGCCACACCCCCGAGTTCTGCTTCTCTGAGTTCAGAACCCCCAGTGCGCCTTCAGTGCAGATAGGGTTATCTAAGATGGGCCCCAAAGGCAGGAGTCCGGACTTGGCCACGCCTATGGCTTCACCCCCTGCCCTCTGCCTCAAATCTTTTGGCCTAGCGCTAGGTGGAGTCCAGGGACTTTTAACTGGCTCAGGGAGCTAACCCATAGGGATTCTCCAACTCGCAGTTCCTGCGGATCACAACCCTCCCGGGCCTGACGCCTATGAGGAAGTAGCAGATGGGGCTCAAACTGGAGGGCTAGGTAAGTCAAATAGAGCCTGGGGTGCCGAGAGTGCAGCTTTGGTGAACCCCAGGAGTTTGGGGTTAGGGCTGGGGCGCCGGGCTCGGGCTTTCCTTCCCATGTGGACCTGGAGGCTTGAGATGGGCCTTTGCAAGTAGCTTACCTTATCATGCCTCAGCTTCTGCATGGCATCCTTCTCCAGGCTTCAACCTGCGCATTGGAAGGCCGAAAGGGCCACGGGATCCCCCGGCGGAGTGGACCCGGGTATGAGTGCTGCGCCTGTTCCTGCCTATTGCTCCCATGGGTGACTGGACTTGTGTAGTGCCATGTAGTGGGAACGGGACTGCTGGGGCCTGGATCAAAATAAAAGTTTCTCAGGGTGGAAAAAAATGAGGGCTTTGCCCCAGTAATTATAGTAATCAAGGCCGGAGGCTTGGGTAGGTATGTGCGGACAGTGAATTTCTCAGTAAATTCAAGAAAGAACATCAGGAGTGGGCCGTGCACCACCATGCTCCCACCCCTGAAGTAAAGCATATAACTCATCAGTAGGCTTTCAGGGACTTCCCCTTATCACATATTGAGAAGTGCATCCTCAGTATCTGAGCATCCCTTGCCTGGACACTCAGGTGACCACACAGAGAGGTGCATGGATCCTGAGACAGCTAAGCAGACACACAGAAAAAAGATTCCCAGGTAGGCAAACAGATGGATCGCCAAACCTGGACCTTGAGTCAGACCCATAAATAGCCACACCTTCAAGAGATTGTCTATGGCAAGACAGACCTCAGCCAGAGAAAAATAAATCAACCAATAGCTTTAAATTGGTCCCAGCCAGTGACCACCAGACAGTCCCCCAAAGTCAGACCTCTGCCAGCTAGACAGCCAGATGGATTCCTAGCTAGACAGAACCCCAGACGTAACAGCTCCCAGCTGGACAGACCCACAGACATCTTAGCTAGACAGACCTCAACCCAGACCCCCATATAGGGCAAACTGAATAGGACTGCATAAACACCATAGCCAGCCCCTCCTGTATAGATAAGGCCCCCATCTGATAGGTGGACATTTGGGTGACAAACTACTTTCAGCCAAAGATAGATAGACCCCAAGTTCATGAGCCAACTAGATCCCAAGCTAGATGGATAGACATCAGCTAGCCAGATGCCCAGGTGGACCCCAGCTAGTCATATGATCCCCAGATGAACAGACAAACCTCCCAAATGAGCACATACACATCTCCAGCCATACAGATGGACACCTAAGACACAATTCCAGCTTGACAAAACTTCAGACAGATTCCTGCTTGAATATATTGGTAGAACCCCAGCTAGAAATACAGCAGCTAACCTGACCCTCAGCTAGACTCCCAAAGGGTGACAAAGATCTCCAGCTGGCCAGAGAAATGGACCACCCAGAAAGACAGAAGTTCAAACTTGAGATGCAAGAAAGAAGATTCACTGATGCTAGAGAGATGGCTCAGCAATTAAGAGCAAACTTGCTGTTCTTGCAGAGGACCCAGGTTTGGTTCTCAGCACCCACATGGCATCTAGCACCCATCCTTAACTCCAGTTCCAGGGGAACTGATGCCTCTTCTGTCCTCCAAGGGCCTGGTGGCATGCATGTGGTGTACTTGCATGCAGGCAAAACATTCATATGCATACAATAATAAAATCTTTAAAAAAAAGAGAATCTCTGATGTACTGATTATTTTTTGTCACCTTGACATGAACTAGAGACACCTGAGGAATTTCCTCCATCAGATCACCGTACGAGTGTGTCTGTGGGAGGATGCAGCCCATTGTGGGCACTGTCATTCCTGGTCAGATGGGCCTAGGCTGGAGTAGCTAAGTAACCCAGGGGGAAGCAAGCCAGTAAGCAGCCTTCCTCTGTGGTCTCGACTTCAGTTCCTGCCTCCAGGTTCTTACCTAAGCTCTTGTCCTGGCTTCCTTTGATGATGGGCTGTAATTTGTAAACTGAAATAAACCCTTTCCTCCCCCAATTTGAAAGCAAACCAGGGCAACTGACAAGACAGAAAGATAAGAATAAATGTATATACGATGTTCCAAAACCCTGATCTAGCCTCTTCCTTGCGTTGATCTCCCTAAACACATCACAGAGTCTATTTGGTAGTTGTTCATCTAGGCAGACTCATAACTATGCCTCCCGATACAGTGCCTTCCCCAAGCTGCTAGAAAGGCTGTCCTGAATCATGCTGCACACAGACCATCAAGGCCTCCTTCCAGGACCTTGCTTAGCTAGGTAGGTACACATCCTTTAAAATGATGACTGTAAGAAATCAGTGGAAATACAGGTAAAAGCTCAGTTCAAAAGCCTTACACTGTGCTCCATGAACGTCACACAATAATCAGCTCTAGAATTCCAGGTTCACAATGGTCCTGAGCAGTTTGCTTTTTGAGTGTTGGTAAAAGGAGTATGAAACTTGTCCTATTTTGCCACAGTGCCTGCTGTCATTAACTACTGTAAGTTCTCTGAGCACTGAGCAGCATAGCCATGGGAACCAGAGATTACAGAGAAAATTTGGGGTTCTCCAGCTCTTCAGTGGATCTAAACTCTAAGATGAAAGTTGGGGCTGACCATGTTAAGATGCAGGAAAGAGCATCTCAAGGTTTCTGAGGAGCAGAGGAAGGTCAGGGTATCATTTTTAAAGCATGGACTGGGGCTGACCATGCTGGAGAGATGGCCAGGAAGGAGGCCTTGGGACAGAGAAGGGTCAGGGTGTTACTTGGCACATAGGCTAAGTTCACAGCCAGAACTGTTCAATTCATTGGCCCTGAAACCAGCAAGGAAAGCAGTCATTTCCTGGAAGCAGGGAAAAGGGGCAGGGGGCATGTCATCCTGAAGGAAGGAATACCAACTAAAGTTGTCTCCTGGTGGCCAAAAACCAGGTCTGTGGAGCTGCAGCTGATAGTTCGGAGCTGAATGAAGACTCCAGTTCTCAGCTGCCCACTCTGGGAGAAAGAAGAGTGGTTCTGCCGAAATCAAAGGGAGCCATGCCTCTGATCAGCTGAGTGGGAAGACACACAGCAACAAAGGGCAACCAATACTTTTTTGTGTAACTGGGGCTGAAACACTGAGACCCCATAACAAGTCAATGAACTGAAGTGAATTGAAATGAATGAAATGGAATAATGCAATTAAACTAAATGAAATAATAAGGGAGTATAAGAAGATCAACTCTTGGGAATGGACAGATGGCTCCAAGGTTAAGAACACTTGCTGTTCTTCCAGAGGACCCAGGTTTGGTTCCCAGCACCTACATAGTAGCTAATCACCATCCGTAAATCCAGTTCCAGGGAATGCCCTTTTCTGACCTCCACAGGCTTTGCATGGCACGGGTGTACTTACATATATTCAGGTAATACACTCATATGCGTGAAATAAAACTAACAAAATATTTTTTAATGAAATCAACTCTTCTATATATTTGGGCCTCTGGACCTTTGATGGGTACTGCTTCTGCACCCAAAGGCCCTTGCCAGCAGTTCCCTGGCCCCACATGATCACTGGCCTCTTCCCCTCTGGGTGAATGCTGGTCTTCTTCTCCCACCTGCTATATCTGAAGTTGACCAGAAGTGCTTTGGAATGAATTTCCAACAGCTTTTCAGTCAATAAAGGTTGGATGATATATACACATCTAGCCCCACCCCTTAGTGGGTAAGTCCGAGATAGGTATTTTGTTATTGTTGTTTTTTTTGAGACAGAGCCTCCCTGTAGACAGAGCCTCCCTGAGACAGAGCCTCCCTGTAGCCCCAGCTGGCCTGAAACTTGCTACCTAGACCAGGCTGGCCTCAATCCACCAGCCTCTGCCTCCAGAGTTCTGGGATTAAAGGTGTGTACCACCAGGTCAGGCTCTGAGGTATGCATTTTACAGGTTCTCCTGGTTTTCTGGGAGACTTGGACTTCAGCCATCTCTAATGGGACTTGCTATAAAATCACACCCTTTACTAGCTGTTTCCCTTCCGTGTCTCCTGTCAATCTATCTCCTAAATAAGCAATTTGCATTTGAACTTCTGCAGCTGGAACCCCACTTCCCACTCCAGACATTGCCCAGCTTCTCCATTTTCTCCAAAAAGCTGACACTGTGCTGTCTCCCACTCTTCCCTCATCCCATCTGGCCACTTCTGTGAGCCTATTGCTAGTGAGGCCAGGGATGACTTCTGTGTTGCTGGATTCCTGGCTCCTCAGACTCCACCAGCAGCACCTGATACTCATTTGGGACATGGTTCATTTGCTTGTTTGGTCCTCACTCTCACACTAGGCTGTTCTGTTTTATCTGTAGTGTTGACTCTCCACCCCTCTGATTGAGTGAAGGCTGGGCCATTCACCCTCTATTCAAGCATACTTCCTTAGAGAGTTATCCTGTCCTAAAGGTTTTGTGTGTATATATGTGCATGTATTCACATGGTGTGCAGATATGCGTGGATGCGCATGTGTGTGCAGGTGCAGATGGAGGCCAAAGGACAAACCTTGGGTGTTGCTTTACAGGAGTTGTTACCTTTGGTTCTGTTTTTGAAGGTAACAGCTGGCCAGGAACCATCCAGACTGGCTGACCAATGAGCTCCAGGGTTTCTCCTGTCTCTGCCTCCCTCATGCTGGGATTATAGGCACATGTCACCATGCCTGTGTTCTGTGGATTGAACTCAGGTTTTCATGTTTGTACAGAAAGCACTTTACAACTGAGCTCTCTCCCCAACCCTGTCACAAGGTTTTGAATTCCTTCAAAGGGGGAGACACAACTCCTAACTTTCTGTAGCTCAGACCTGGCCCATAGCACTCCAGCTCTCCACATCTGCACACTAACATCTCAAACTTACTATTCTCCACACCAAAGGCCCACTGTTCCTGTCCAGACTTAGTCCACTGAGATAGGAAAGAACTTAGTGGGGTTTTTCTGTTTGTTTGTTTGTTTTGGTGTTTTTGAGACAGGGTCTCTCTGTAGCCCCAGCTAACCTGGAGCTCACTATGTAGACCAGGCTGGCCTTAAACTCACCTCTGCCTCTGCCTCCTGAGTGCTGGGGTTAAAGGCGTGCACCACAACACCCAGCCTGCAACTTGCTCTATTTGTTCCTACATACCCTTGGCATCATCCTTCAGTGCTTTTCTCTCGTGTAATCCATTGGCAGATCCTGTAAATCCTACCTTTGAAATCTACTCTGAGCCAGAATGCTGCTAAGTCCCTGGCTGGCTCTGTAGCTGCCTGAAGTTCCTCTTCACAGAAGTCAGGATGGGATGCTTTTCTGCTCAGACCCTCCCTGTCATCCCTCTCTTGCTCAGAATGTATGTCAGCCTTCTGTTTGAGATCTCCATGGTCCCCAACTATGGGCCCTGTCACCGCTCTCCCCCTACTCCTATGACACTCTTGCTCTGTGATGTCTGTCAGCCCACTCTGGAGAAATAACTCTCCCTGGATCCCCTGTATTCCTTCACAGTCAGATCTTCTGAATACAACACAGACTAGCTTTTGAAGGACAACTAAAGAGCAAGCTGATGACAGAGCTTGTCAAGGACAGCAGCCTTTATTCCAGGGCACTGTATCCTAGAGCTTTGATATTTGATGGGTTAGGCCAATGCCATTCATCTCAACTTAGGATATGTTCAACTTACAGTGGGTTCACTGAGATGTATCCCCATCATAAGCTGAAGAGCATCTGTATGTGAACATAACTATGAGACCATACCAGCTCCCTTGCTGGCTTACAAGGAGAATCAAATCTCAGCATCTTCACAGTTTCTGACTTAAGACCCATTGGTCTCCTTCCTGGTCTAATCACAGCAAGCTTGCTCCCATCATGCATTGGGCCTGGCTATTGTTTTTGTCTGGCATGAACCTCCTAGACTGTGCTCCTACTGTATTAGAAAATTTACCTCTTAGCATTGTTTACCACCCATCTCTCCTGACTGCCATGTGAACTCTGTAGGACAGGTTTGGTTTTGTTCACAGCTACATTCTCAACCCCTAGACAATGTTGGCATTAGTTGGACAGCTTTGTTTCTCTTACATTATCCAGGTTTTCTGATTAGTACTAGAATGCAATGCCTTGTCTCAAATGTGCCTTTAATCTTCCATACTCATATTTTTGTTTGCATTAATCATTGCCTCAGACCGACATACAAATCACATTCCTGTTAGACTTGGGATTAGAAGCCACAGTCCTCTGTGGGCCCTTTCCTCTCTTGCATGTCTAGGCTAAGGGTACTAAGCAGAATGTATGACTAAATAAATAAATAAATGAAATAAGTAAATAAAATAAAAGGTATGTCCAAGTTCAAGTTCCAGACCCTGTGAAGGTAGCGTTATTTGGAAAAGAGGGTGGCAATTGTAGTGAAATAAAGTACCTCAAAATGATATGATGGGTCCTAAATACAATTACATATGGCCTTGTAAGAAAAAGAAAGCCTTGACATAGAAGTAGAGAGGAGAAGACTGTTGATACCAGGGGCAAAGATCAGGGCAATATGTTTGCAAATCAAGGAACCCTACACAACAAACCAACCAGAATCCAGGAGAGAGGCA